AAAAAAAAATTTAATTACATAGATGGTCATTTTAGTACTTTGCCCCCTCTGAAAAAATGCTTTTGCCCCTTTTTTCCTCTTTTTTGCCCTAACAGCCCGCGACGGCCTCTCGCCCTCTCATTATTTTTCTTCCTGAATCGCAAGGAGGCCGCACACTCTTCCCTCTTCTTCACGCCGCAACAGGTAGAAGACGCAAGCAGGCCGAAGCTGCCTCGCAAGCGCCAAGAAGGCTGCAGCTCCCATCCAAGCCCCAAGGAATCCTGATTGTGTGAGTTTTTCTTCTTGCTTCTGAATTTTTCTTTTTAGATTTTTGTTTCTTCTCTCAAATTTCTTATTTTGATTGCTAAATCAAATGATTTATCATTTCATGCAAAAGAAACACAAGAGTTTTGGCTTTCCTATTTTTTTTCTTTTCCTTTTGATCTGTTATGGAAATAAGGTTCTTATTTCTTTGCTTATGTTCTAATGGTTCGATTCATCTCTCCTGTTCTAATGAACTACAAGTAGGGCTGCTAAATGCTAGATCATATAATATATAATGTGTAATATGAATGATGCTTATGTTCGTTAGCCCCCATTTTATGATTTCTATGTTTCATTGATTTGTTTTTGGTGCCCTAATACCGGGAAATGGGGTTTATCTGAACTCTTTTGATGTTAAAGATAAAATTGGTAGGTTGTTCAGTTCTGGTTCATGTGGACCTCCGAAGGAGCACCGCTCGCGGGGGTTCGAATGCAGAGGGTACGGCCGCACTATCCCGTAAGACAAAACGATCGTAGGCCTCTACGCTCGACACGAACGGGTCGATGGGAGGGCAGATTGGATCTCGAGGTCAACAGTTCAATGTGCATTTTGATTATCATTTTTTTTCGCTTGGAAGTATGTCTTTTTGCAGCTGAAATGCATTTTCTTTTTATGTTTTTTTGCCCAAATTTATTATCTTTATTTAATTCCTTTGCTTTGTACATGACAATATCTCTTGAACTTTATAATATAAAAATTGATGAGCAGCTGGAGTACATATTGTTTTAATATGCATATATAAATAACATATGGGATGAACTTTTCTACCCTACGGGGAATTTATTCTTCACCTATTTAGATTTTGAAGTCACCATCTTCAAATGTAGGATTAAAAATGTTAATTTATTTTTACATAATTTAAATTAAAGATGTATCTCATTTCAAGAATTTTTAAGGTTGTTTAATCATCTATTGGTTGTTTTTTTCAATGTTTGGTCAGATTGATATTCAACTTTATTTTGTTTGATCTTACTAAAGAAGTGTCAACCATGTTAATATAAATTTTCACAGGATATATCAAATTTTTTTTTGATTCAAATGGAATGTTATCTAAAGAGGAAAGAACCTTTGGAGACTGATATTAACAGTCTCCCAACTGATCCTGGAATTCTACCTTCAATTTGGTGTTACGATGTAAATGAAAGAGATGAAATTCGGAGAGCGTATCTATTGAAGGAAGCCCATCAACCAAAAAATCATCAATTCCCCCAAACAATATTTGGCAATCTTGCACGTAGATTTAATCCAAAATGGTTTGAGGAATATCCTGATTGGTTAGAATACAGCGTACAGAAAGATGCTGCTTTTTGTTTGTATTGCTACTTGTTCAAACCTCAAGATAAAACTATTACAGGACAGTGTGGGGGAGACTCATTTATTGGAGAAGGGTTCATAAATTGGAAGAAGAAAGAAAAATTGTTAAGTCACGTTGGAGATCATAATAGTGCACATAATAAGGCTAGACACAAATGTGAAGATCTGATGAGCACAAAAGAACAAAGTCTTCATGTTCTATGGTTGAGCAAAGATGAGAGAAATAGAAAAGATTA